AGGAAAATTTTTAAATTGTTTTTCTCTAAAGTAAGATTATAAAAAAAATGGGAATAATAGATATGCACAAATTAGTAAAGCTAGGTTGTTTTACACTAGTAAAATAAAATGAACATAAATCCTGGATCTTGTGATTTTTAATTTTTTTCCTCAGAAATTTTAAACTTGAAAATCTATTATTTTGTTTAACAGCTTGCTAAATCTCCTTTCTTAGTCTCTGCTGTTGCTCCAAATTTGTCCTTATTCATAACTTTGTTTTCTCCTTTCAATCTAAGATGCTTAATTTTGTGATTCTGGCTACTACAGTCTACTCCCTTTCTATTATATCTATTGCTCTGAAATGCCAAAGTTGTGCCTGAATCTTGTTACCCAAGTACATCTCTGCCATGTCCAGGTAGCTGAGTGTCCTGTTCATCCTCCTGCACCAGTTGGGTAGTTTGATGCCCCTTCAAATAAGGCTTTCAGACACAGGTGTGGTGATGTTGCAGTAGCAAGCAGGAACACCTCCCTGCCTGTGAGAAGCCTCTCTAGAACTCCTGTCTCCAAGGTCTCTTTGTCAGTGCTGCCTGTTTTTTCAGCCAGTGAACACCTTCAAAATTAATAAATGTGAAGAGTTTTCTGGTTTTTCTGCTTTCTGCTTTTGTGCACATATTTTCATTGAAGTTGTAAATTCACAAGTGACATGCTTTCCTTCTTGTATTATAGAAAATATCTACTCTCCTTAGCAAGTCTAGCCTTAGGTTAACCTTATTGCTCCGATCTTAATTCTCTTGTACTTTGTCTGATCAACTGCTTTTGACATTTGTTTTCTTCCTCTGAACTGGCTCCATGTGTGTATGTTGTAAATATATTCTTGTCTCCCACATTTAAAGCAAGTAAATAAATTATACCTCCTTCCTCACTTTTGTGTACGATTCATCAACTGCTGCAGGTTTTCTTTTCCTTTTTTCTGGAGGTAAGAGAGAACTAAATAACCCCGTTCTTCTATTTATTCGCCTGCTCTGAATGATTCTGAAACTTACTGAACTTGGATTCTAGGCCTTCTACTCTGCTGGTCCTTACCTCTAAACCCAGTGCCATATTTCAGTTCCCGTTTTGGCCACAAATGGGAAATCATGTTTTCCCTTTTCTTAAAAATCTCTCACTTGTTTCTGATGACATTAAACGCTGGATCTTCCTCAACTCTTTTACCAACATTGTTTCAACTACTTTCCTACAGTTCTTTTTTTTAACTTCCCATAGGATTATTTGTATTAACTTTCCACTGTGGACATGTCCAGGCCATCAATTCATCTATCATGAACATTTGCACCACCTCCATTTCTGTAAGTTCAACCCGGACTGCTTCCTGATTGCAGATACATATTTCTAGCTGCTTAGTATATGACATTCTTGGCATCTAACTCAAGGCCTCTAACACACTATTCCCAAATTTGAACTTGACAGCTTATTTTTCCTCTCATTGCCTTAGTGAATAGCATTACCCAGTATACATGCCAGAGACATGACTGTCTCCTGATATTCCCCTGCTGCTCCTGTTTCCTATGTTTGTGAGCAAATCCTTAGCTAGTGTGTATGTGTGTATCTATGTATATATGTTTATATATAGTATATATGACATACATCCTTAGCTAGTATATATATATGATATATATGATATCATATTTATATCTATCGATATAGCTAGCTAGCTATATACTGCTTCTCCATCCCCACATTTTCTCTTGTGGTTAAATATACTTTACTTTCACTCACCTATTCAAATAGATTCCAAATCTATTTTTCTAGTTCTTACAGGTTTGATAAACAAGGAAAACATTAATTCCTCAGGGCCTGTGCTAAATCTAATTTCTTTACTGTGACATTAAAAAATCCACCTTCTAGTTTGACCAATGTCTATATTATCTATTCTTTTTGTTCTTGATTTTTCTTTTCTGGTCATTTATAAACTCACAGGAGACACCCCAATGAAAGCAATAAATTGTTTCTTCAGAAAATTGTACATTCCCATTTGTGTAGAAGCTCATATTATGTTGTCATGATGTTAAGGAGGCTCATGGACTCCTTGGATATATTCACAACTCCATTAGGCCAAACCAATCTCTTGTTGCATTCTCTAATACTTTAAGCAATGTAAAGTGCTTATATGTCCCCTAAATCCACATAGTTTCTTGCATAGTTTCTTGTGTGGCCTCTTCACACAACCTCTGCCTTTCCCATTCACTTATTGAACAGAATAAAACCCATTCGTATTCTCTGTATTAGCCTAAGGTTGTCCATAAACCTGTTCTTATTCTCCACTTAGACTTGTAAGCCTGAGCTATTTCTCTGTCTTTTATGACCCTGTAATATATGATTTCTATCAATAGTAATAAAAAATGCCAGCATAAGAAGTGTATTTAAAACTAAAGTATCTTGGAGTCAGAATGACATAGGTTTGAATGCCTAACAAAAGTGGATGCATTTGGTAATCAGTATAAAATCCTCTGACCCAATCACTGAACACTGAAGTTATAGGAAGGAGAACTATCTTCTGCCATATTAGTACCTTTTGGATCTTCATAATGGAAGGGAACCTTAAGTTGGCTTTTAAAAACTATAGAGGGCTGGGGATAGCAAAACTTGGAGATAGAGAAGATATCTCTATCTTCTTAGGTGATGTTTTCTAAGCAACTTTCAACTCTAGAAAGTTAAACTTTGATTGTATCATTAGATCCTTTGTATAGTACTATATTAATCACAAGAAATTAATGTTCATGAAGTCATGTGACTTACTCCCTAAAAAAATTAGGTCTTTCTTATCAAAGTGTGATTTTTTTCTTTTAACCCATGTTAAGGCTATTTTTTCTAATTCCTAGTTCATTATTATATTTACTGGCTTTTAAGATTAAAAAATGATTTGAGATATTACTTTATAAAATATGGCTAGGGAATCTCATTTTACAGTTATAAGAAAGAAAGTATTCTATCAGCTTACAAGCTTGTGATTCATATTAGTATGGTAAAGGCTCTGAGATGTCCTGTACTAGTGAAATTTCACTTGTTTAACTTAACACTTCACAATTTCTTTGACCTTAGGACCCCCTTTTCCATAATCTCTTATTTTCAGTGGACTTTTCCTCTCATACTTTGATGAATTATGATGAGCTATAAATATCCATTTGATATAGAGTCCCAGTCTCTAAAAATACTACTTGTTTAGAATAGTACTTGTTAAGGTTGTTTTACAGTTTTATTCAAATCTCAAAGATTTCAACATATCTCTTGGCCTAAAGTAGTTAATATATATATATATTTTAAAAATACATGTTTCAAATATTTTTATTAACCTAAGAGTATAATATTTTAACCAAGAAAAAAATCAAATCATATTATCACAGATCTTTTAGAACAGGAAGTATGACTAGATGTCTGGTTTTTCCATTCACCATTTATTTTCATAAGGAAAATGAAGCTTAGAAAAGTTTAAGAACTTTGTGAACATCAGAGAGATATTCTGTTATAGAACCAACATTACAAAGTGGATGTCTTGAGTAAGAGCCTAGTATTCTTTTGTTGATCACTAATTTAATTCATTGTTTAATGACATAAATAAAACTGATCCTGTTTGTGATGACAGTTTAGATTTTTATGACATAAGATTTAAAACAGGGCCCTCCCTAGTGGCTCAGTGGGCTAAAGCACAGCACTGCAAGCTAGCGGCAGCCATTTTAGTGCCAGTTCAATCACAGCCCCGGAGGTGATCCACATGGCACGGCAGACCTCTCCTGACCTGCCGGCTAATCCCATCAGCAGTGTACTTCATCCATCTGCCTGTTCTACTTCCCAAACTGTCTCTGGTGAATCCTTTCACCCTCCACACCTCTGGCCTGTACCCGAGCTCTGTATACTTAAATAAATAAATCTTTAAAAAGTTTTTTTAAATAAAAAATATTATTTAAAACAAAAACTAGAAGAGTAAATACTAGAAAACTAGAAGAGTATATATATATATATGTATACACACACACGTATACACACACACACGCACATATATATATAATTTTAAATGAGTAATCATTACAAAGTATTGAGATATTTGGCCTAGTTATGAACAAAACATTTAAGATTTAGAAATAAAATAGCAACATTCAAAAATTTTTTTTTCCAAAATATCTAGTCTTTTGGGAATTTTAACTCACTTTATAATATCTAAACTGTAAAGTGGAAGTCAGAGTCTTTTTGCTTGTTTGGGTGTTTAGCTTTTCATTTAATAAAATGTTTTCTTACAACATGAAACCACTCATGGGGATCAAAGTCATTAGGAGAACACAGCAGATTGTGCTTATTAGTTGATTCTAACCAGTTCTGCGGTTTAGGCGTAAGTTGTTTTTCCAGTACAAAGGCATTTCCGTCTGTTAGGAAATAGGGAACTTTAAAATTTGTTTCCACTATGGCACCAGAACATAGCCCCTTCCTTAGTAACTTTGAGAAAATTGGAAGATATTGTGCCCTCAGTCTACCACATAAAAATAAATTTAAAAGGAAAAATGATCTTTATCACCTCCTTATATGAATTTATTTGTTTTAATATAATTTTATTTTATTACTAAGCATACTATGTTGTACAGCATTTAGGAGCTGTCAAGGTATAAAGGTACAAGCTCCTCCATTTCTTTTACTTAAATAAAGTATTTGTGTGTATATAAAAACCTCATTACTTCCAGGAAACACACCCATTCTTTTCAATATTAAGGAAATAGCACACCATGTATGATATTTTAACTAGACAATATTAAATGTGAACTAGAAGTCCAGTGGACTTAGCTCCAGTATGTCTGCAACTTTATCACTGTGTGGAAAATTAATGCTGCAAAGTCAAACAGGGTGATAAAATTTACAGAATAAGGTATATTTGCTAAAAAAACAAGATACTTGCTCAAGTATATTCAGTGTGCATAACGGTATATTATATTAAGAAATCCTATATACATAACATTTGAAATATTTTAATCTTTCAGATATTCTACATTCCCTTGGCCCTCTTCATACCACCTTCAGTATATGCTGTTCATCTTCAGTTCAATCTCCTCTATCAATTTTGGATCCATACAGAGGTAATTTTTTTTTTTTTTATGTTTTATACCTAAAAAGCTAGCCTGAAGCTGGAAATTCGCTAGCAGCTGATTTATTGTGTAAGAACAATCTTTGTCTGCCTCCTTTAAGGAGAAACATCTGTTCATTTTTATTCCTTTTTACTTAATATATATTGCAAAGTTTATAAGAAGCAATGAGGCCAGTTGGTCTCAATTAAATAAAGCAATTTTTGAACTATTAAGTGTCAAAACATTTTAATACTATATTCAGTTCAGCATCTTCCTGTATTACAGATTATTAAACATTATATTCCAAAAGATGTTGAAGTTTATTTCTATTTAGAAATATAAATTCATATAATTTCATATATTTATAAATATTTCTGTTTTTGATGCAAAAATTATAGTATTTATAAGTTATTACTATAATAAATAATTATATAGATAAGTATGTCAGTAAGTGGAAATTCCATAAAAAAAAGCTTAATGCATAAAGACATTATCAAACTATTTTTGTTGTAAATCTTGCTTTAACTTTAAAATTTAGATTTTACTTAAAGTATGTTCAACATATTCTTAGTTTCCCCATTCCGCAGAGCAATGAACAAATATAACTGCTTGTCTCTTCTGTAGTTTCTCAAATTGTCAGACTTGAATATTTACAGATAGATCATTAAGCAATTGATTGGTTTATAAACTCTTGTGCTGATTGGATTGTTAAATATCAAAACTCACAGACCAAGAAAAATTCTCCCCTCTACACATGAGACCTCTTTCAAGCATTTGGTATTTATTGGAAGTCTTTTGAAGTTCAATAGGAAGCATGTTGACAGGTGTTGCAACCAGCTGAATAATAATGCAAATCACAACTGTATTAGATCCCAAATCTTGATATAACGAAGCACATTATTTCATTAATCTGCAATATTTAATGCTACTGATTTACTTTTACTCAAGAGACTGTTAGTGTTACTTTGGGCATTTGTGACATTACTTGAAGATCTGTCGAGAAATAGTATTGCATTTTATGGTAGTTGACATACATCAAACAGACAATACTACAACCATCTGAAAGAGTTGTTGAGGCCATTTCTGACTCTAGAGGTCAAAGACCAAATTTGTTTAAATCAGTGGAGGGAAGCTTTCTGATGATTTACAGGGAGGGGTTAAAGGAGAATTACATTTTTATAGTAGCTCTGCCACAGGTCATGCCACGTGTTCAGTCAGGTATTAGTCTGGATATAGAACAATGGGGTAGGAGTAACTTCCTCCCTTTCCTGTGTCCCTCTAAGAGGCCTATGAGTCAGGGCTTGAGTTCCACTGCAGGAATTAAAGGGAAAGTTGAGGAAAACCAGCAGTGAACATTATTTTTAAACTCCCAAACTCTAAGTGGTTTCATGTCCAACTCAAAGTGCATTAGAACTTCTTACTTGCATTGTACTTCATACTTCTGAAAAGACTTTTACCAAGTATTGTTAGTACAGTTGATTTGCATAGAAAGTCAGAAGATACTTTTCTGAAATTCAGTTTTGCATGTGGAATTTTAAATTCTATTTCTAGCTATGCATACACTTCTAAGATTCTTGCAGTTTAATTATATTTAAAATATTATATTATACAGCTGCTATCATTTGTTTATAAATAGTAGAACCAGAGAAAATGCTTATTGTCTGTTTTCCCTGCTTTGGCTAATAAAGATTAAAAAATTTTTAAAAATTGAAAACAGTGTCTTTCCATTTAGATAAATTGCCCGTTTTATGACTAGAAAACCCTGTTTAACCACTTAGGCATTGTTTAATTTAATATGTTTTTGTGTCTTCATTTAGAGAAATAATATAGATCCATAGACAAGATAGTCTTGATCAGTGTCAGTATTTCCTGCTAGATTTTTGATTCTTAACAGCTGTTGTGTCTGATACCATCCATAAAATAACATATATATATGTATTTTTATACATTTAGTTGATTGTGTGCCTTTTTTATTTTCTTCTTGATGACTTTTGGTGAAAAGAAATACTAAATTTTGCAGTATAAATTGTCACTTTTTATTTTTTGATTAGATATTTGTTGGGATGTTTTTTCTATTTTTTATTTCCTCTAAAATCTATGTCTATTGCAATCTCTTGAAGAAATTAACCTGGAATTTCTTTTGGAACCTTTGGAGTTTTAATTTTGACCTTTAGGTCTGTGATATAAACTTGAATACACTTTTATATATTTGTATTTGATAGGAGTCAAGGTATATTATTTAATTATATTCCTTTCATTACAGCACTATTTATGATGAGACTTTCATTCATCATTCATCAATAAGTAGCAATACCATAAAGTTTAATAGTAACATGCTCACTTGTATGCATAGGGCAGACCTAGCCATCATAACTTAGTACTATGTATATGTCATCTTAACTGTCTTAGCTAGACAAAGGAAGTCAGCTGGAGCTTTTACTGGGGGGCAGAGGGAGGTGTTTCTGCCTTTTATAGAGATATTCTTACTTAGCCTTTGGACTATTTGTTCTCTTTACTGAAAGTAAATTGATCTTTTTTTTTTTTTTAACTTTAGCTTTAGACTTCTTTTTCATTGTTTTTTTTCTTGTGTGATACGTATCCCTTATTTATTGATTCCTTGAGCTTTGCAGAAAGAAATTCATACCATTTATATAAGAATTCACTGTAAACTTTCTAGGACTTTTATACTGTTTTGTTGTCTTTAAATAGACAACTTTCCTATCTTGATGGAATTTTTACATATTTTGTCTTAAGGTTTAGAATTCATATATATTATATGTTAAACTGGGGCTATAAAGCCTGAAGATATTCTCTGTAAAAAATTATTTTTCTGTCTCTCCTTTCTTAAATCTCTTAAGTCCATATTTCTTAGACTGATTGATACTGAGTCACAGATCAATAATTTCTGTAATTATTTGCAATGTCACTGTTTTACGTTGATTGAATTTTTTGTTAATTTGTTTTCATATTCACTTCTACTTATTGTCTCTGATATGCTATTAAAAACACATTAAGTGAGCTTCTTACATTATATACTATATTTTGTTTTAGCTATTGCTACTTCTTTATTTTTAAGCAGCTCTTACTCTCTTGCTGAAATTGTGTCAATTATGATTGGTTTCCTTTTAAGTTTTTCTGTATTATTTTTTATTAGGTGACTTTGGCTTATAGTATTGTATATGTCTCAGACAGAGATATAGGGTCACACCTTTTCAGATGTATGTTACCACAACCAAGCCGTTCACCAGAACATTCATAATCCTGCACTATAGTCCATTGGGCGCTCCTCCGCACTGCTTTCTGGTGATATCCTTCATAGTTCAGATTTCTGGGGTTTGTCTGTTCCTTTGTTTTCTTTGTCTGTGTTCCACTTTTGGTACTTCCCTTTCTCCAGACTTATTCTGCTGAGCAAATCTCCTCCAGTTCCATCCACAATGTCACAAATGGCAAGGACTTCATTTTTTTTTTTTTATAGTTAAGTCATATTCCATTGTATATATATATCACACCTATTTAATTTATTCATCTGTCATTGTGAACTTGAGTTTTTTCAATAGCTTGACTGATGCAGATAGTGCTATAATGGACCTTCAATATTAGTGTTTACCTCACCATCTTCATATTTTCTGTAAGTGATCATTTATTTAGTTTGTAACTCGAATGCAAAGTTGTTTATGGATTTAATATCATTATGTCCAGTCTCTCATGTTTACATATTCATAGGAAAAAGCTGATAACTCTTTGCCCCTTTAAACTTATGTTCTTCTTTGCTTCCTTTCATCTTTAAAATCAACATTGAGATCAAATCTTGGCATCAATTTTGACTTCTTGATTTCTCTCATAGTTTATCCTTAAGTCCTATACATGTTCTCACCATAAGTAATTTTCATTCTCATCTAGTTACCATTTATGATAATTCATCCCAGCTACTTATTCATGTATAAATTTGCATTTTTATCAAATGTTTTCAATATATACATCTCCTTGGCTTTTGTATATTCTAAAAGTACTTCTTGAACACCTACTCTGTACTTGGCAAAAACTACCCCAATTGTCTGATATGAATTAGCTGCTCTGTTGCAGACATTTTCTGGGTCATTGCATCCTTTGAAAATCTGTTTGATTGTAATGACTCTCAAAGGAAAAAAAACAGTGCAGAATTTTAAATTTTATTAAGCTTTCCAAAAACTTAGCAATCAAAGACTTTAAAAATTAAGAGATCGAGGCCCTCCCTGGTGGCGCAGCGGGTTAAAGCACAGCACTGAGAATCTAAAGCCGCTTCCTCATGAGTTCAATTCCCGCCTGCCCCGGAGGTGA